CACGGGTCACGACGAGTCATTCCCCATAGCGACCCCTAGAGGATGCAGTTCGAAGTTCCCATGAAAGGGAACTTTTCTTAATATTATTAATGTTGAAAACAGTTGTGTAGCTTAATATTTTTGTGGAAACCATTATACATTTTTTTTCCCCCAGAACAGCAATTATTTGAAATAACATTAACATTTTCTTTTTTAACATTATAGTCACCTTTGATAAATGTAATGCATACAATCTACATACAATCTTGCTGAATGCAATCTCCAAACTTTTGAACGGTAGTATATATCAGTCTAGTTATCATGCAAAGACCTGGCAGAAAATGATGGACTGTGTAGATAAAAATTTACAATCATTAAAGGGTTAGTTCACCCAAAAATGAAAACTAATTTTCATTTTTGGGTGAACTAACCCTTTAACCCACAGTAACAGTGTGTTGCTGCACATACAGTAGTAGACATGTTTTGTGATTGCACTGAGATCTTCCAGTATTACCGTGATGCTGTAGATCTGAACACTGAGTCAGAGGGTCTCCGTTCCTTATATCCTGACGCCTCGTTCTCCTGTGAACGTACAACACACATCGCAGAAAATTAGAAAGGGCAGGTGAGCGTGAGCACACTGAAACTCACATATCCACTCCTACACACATCTGTCTCACAGAAAATCTCTCACTATATTATGCTCAGAGTAAATCAAACACAGCTCCACATGAGCATACGTGTGTCTGAAATGGAACCTGTTTCAGCTCTGGGCTGTTTAGTCTCTAACCTTTATGAAAAGACGTATCATGCAACATATGTCCTGAGACATCTTGTCCTGAATGTACCTTTGAGGCAACTCCATAATGCTGGCAATATGTGAGGCCTTTTCAGCAGCAATAGTGCACAAAGAACCTCTCTGAGAACCTCGTCCACAAACATATTACTTGCTACTGGAACATGACATGGACTGTAAATGTGAGACCTGACCTGTTCCTGTTTTGGAAATTGAAGATGAAGTATTAAGTAGGGGTATGTTTGCTTTTGATGGCCCGAAGGAGATGAGCTTAAACAGTGAAAACGATAGTGGTGCTAATAAGTGCTACAAAGGACAGCTGGGAAATCCAATGAGATTATGATGGACACCTCAAATAAGGTCAAGAACTCAAAAATGAAATGACAGCATTGTGACTTCTAATGTTCTAATATAATAGTAAAACTGACGTTAAAGGGATAGTTCACATAAAAATGAAAATATTTTTCAATCAGCACGTGTTATTCCAAAACTGTGACTTTCTTTCATCAAGTATTACCAGGGACTGTCAAGCAGAGTTGTTGTAAACTAAATTGTTAACTAATTGTTGACTAAATTAACTGAAACTAAAACTAGTAAAAAAATGCTTTTGCTATTTAAAATAAAGCTGAAATCAATAAAATGTATGTTGTATATGTACAATTTAAACAACTTAAAAATTATAAATGTTGTCTTGACAACTAACTGAAATATAGTTTAAGTGAAGCACTAAAATTAGTAAAATAAAAAATCAGTTGAAATAAAAATCAAGCTAAATAGAAATTTTAAAAACTAATAACAATGACAAAATTAAATTACTAAAACTTAACCTTAAATTAAAATAAACATAAAACAGCTTTGTGAAGCTGACAGAAATTGAAGTCAGTATTTGCTAAAAAAAACAATCTTCTAAAATTGTTTGTATTGTATGGCTTCAGAAGACTTAGAATGTAGTGCAGAAGTCTTTATTTATTTGGTACTTCTTATTTACTGTGTGTCTTTTGTCAGTCCTTAGCCAATATATGTATTTATTATGTACAGAAAAGAGCAGCTTAGACATTCTTCTAAACATCTCTTTCTTGTTCCATAGAACAAAGATCATACAGGTTTGTAATAATATGTGGCTAAATAAATGGTGACAATTTTCATTTTGGTGTTAATTTTTGTGTCAACTACCAGTTTTGTTATTATTAAATAAAAGTATAAAAAAGTTGCTTTTGTTCATTTAAACCTGAAATAAAATAAAATAAAAAATAAAATATTAGATTTAAACAAAATGTAAAAATTGGCAACTGACTAAAAGAAGTTAAAGAATTAAAATGACTAAAACTGAAATACAAAATTAATTAAAGCTCAGTAGAAACATATAAAAATGACAAAAGTATATGACAAAATTAGTAAAACTAAAATTAAAATGTAAACTGAAAATATAAAAATAAAAGGGTTTTTGATATACAGGTCATACAGGTTAGTAACAATATGTAGCTAAGAAAGTTTTCATTTTGGTGTTAATTTTTGTCAACTACCAGTTTTGTTATTGTTAACTGAAAGCATGAAAAAATTGTTTTTGTTCATTTACAGCTGAAATAAAATAAAATATTAGATGTAAGTAAAACTTATAAAAACAAAATGTAAAAAATAAAAGGGTTTTTGATATATATTTTGATATAGTAGCAACCCAAAATAATTCAGAAACCCATTGTGGAAAATCACAGTTCATAGAGCATCTTCTTCATCTTAGGTCAACTTTGCAGTGTTTCTGCGTTCCTCATCGTACCTCTTAGCAGTTGGAAAGTATCGGGAACACTGCGAGCCGTCCCAGGCACAGTAAGGATCACGTGCCAGACAGCACTCAGCACAGGCCTTCCCGTACACGTCACAGCGATGCAGCGGCATCTGAGAAACTCCAATGGTGGATCCAAGATAGAGCTGTTGCTGTAAAGATAGAGCAGAGAGATTGACACTTACTTAAAACAATGATGGCAAAGTTTTGATGTTCTGTGCTGGGGAGATCGCCGAGTTAACGACTGTTTCGCTGAGAATACGGGAACTTTCTCGGGGCTTGCACGCAGCTGTTTAATTATATATCCCTTCAGATAACCTCCCAGTGTCTGCTTGATTATTCACACCATCTAAAGGAGAGCTCACGCTGCAGTCCTGTGTGTAAAACCAGCTGGTGTGTGTGTGACGGTGTGTGTGTGTATGTGTGGCCTCTAATGGCAGTACCTCATGTTGCCGTGTTGTGTGAGTGACTGTGACAGCAGCCCCTGCTCTGCGTAATGTAGCTTGAGGCCAAGCAACGAGTGTGTAACCCAGCCTGAGTGTGAGAACTGTGCTGGGTTTTTTGGTACATGACAAATCTGTCTGGTCTATATCACCTCTGTCAACAAAATGCAGTGCAGCATGACAATTTCCCCACAAAACGCCCAGTGCTAACTTGGCTGACCAGTTCACTATTTTTTAAAAACCTCACATGCTATGCTAGTTGTGCACTTACAGAGATCACATATTAGACTTATTGGGTCTTGTTGTGAGCATTGATTTTTACACAAAAATAATGATTCATTAACAAGTTTGCATTTAAAATTAGGATAATATTTAGGATCAATTCAAGATATATGTCTGCAAAAATCACAGTGGTTAAAAAAAAATAATTCAGCTTAACACATGTTAGAATGTGATAAGCTGAATTATTTTATTTTAACTTTTAGTTCTATATTTATATTAACATTCAAACTTTTGGGGTTGGTAAGATTTTTTTAATGTTTTTGAAAGATTTTATGTTCACCCCGCATGCAATTATTTGATCAAAAATACAGAAAAACAGTAATATTGTGAAATATGATTACAATTTAAAATAACTGTTTTCTGTTTCAATATATTTTGAAATGTAATCTATTGTTGTGATGGCAAAACTAATTCTTCAGCAGCCATTACTCCGGTCTACAGTGTCACATGCTCCTTCAGAAATCATAATCATTATGAAAAATCTATTTTAATGTTGGTGCACAAAATATTTACTATCATTAACAGTTGTGCTACTTAACATTTTTGTGGAAATAGTGATGCACTGCAGTGATTCACACACACACACACACACACATTTATTTATTTATTTTTTTTTTTACAGAATAATTTGGATTAATCAATGTTAGAACAAGGATAAGAACAAATTTACACACGTTATGAATTTCTGTCCACTTGTACAAAAGTATAAGTGAATAAGACCTATTGTGATCTATAAAGTATTAGGCCTATTTTGCTCTTTTAACAAGTTCGTTTGCCTATATAATCTTAAGGAAATTGTGTGTAAACTTATTTGGCTTGCTGTCCACTGATGAGGGGCTCGATGAAGCAGCTTCAACTCGAGCTCTGATATACCCCCAGGGACTTGATATAGGATGATTACGAAGGGCAAGGTACCTAAGATGAAGGTGGAGTTTTGGGGAGGTGGAGGGATGCTGGAACAGCTGAGACTGGAGAGAGGTAAGCAGCTGCTTATATACTCTGGCTGTTGATTGAAAGATTAGATGGGCTCACTCCTCCCTAACTTATGTTAAGGAACTTCATTTAAATTCACTCTTTTCCTCAGGCTTGCTTAATGGAATTATGTTTAGTACTGCCACTTATTTGAATTGCTTTCACCATCTTTATTACATTAAGAGATCAGTTGTTTTCGGTTCTAATAATACCAACCTGCTTTGTGGAGAGTTCCATAGCAGTAATAGCTGTTGGTTCCTGTAAACAAAATAATGTTTTTAATGATCTATATTGTCTATCACCAAAATATTACAAATGATTTCTTAGCATGAAAAAGGGAAAATAATACAGCTTAAAAATAGTGCCTTTGGAGTGTTTTAGTGGAAAAATGCTACAGCGTAGAATGTAAAGTAGTAGTAGATAGAAAAAAACTCTTAATAATAAACCAATTAGAAATAAATCAGTATAATAAACTCTGTAAACCCACTCTGAACACAGTCATCTCTTCCAACAGGACTTCTTCAAGATCATGCCATGTTCCTCTGGGGATAGAAACCACCTTAAGAACTGTGCCCATGTCTACAGTAGAAAAATAACATAATTAACTTGAGCTTTACATACAGTATATGGTTTAAAAAATTACAGAAATCTAATTATTTAAAAACTTTATTCCACTCACCAGTGCCAATAAACATGACATCATACTGTCCATCCTCTGCCTCCACCCTGTCCACCACTATCTGTGTGAACTGATAGTCAACATCGGTTTTGATTATGATTGGACGGTTGTTGATGGGGAACACTGGGTTGTACATGGCCGGATGGCTTCTGGCAAACGTGATAACATCGTCAGGAAAGTCCTTTGTTGATTCAAAACCATCAAACGTTTTGCTGGGGCACTGTTAACATCCAAAAGAACATGTGTTCAAACCCAAGCAGGCAAGTCACTTTATTTTGAAAAGTGAAATGTAAAAAGGCACCAGCACTGATTGGCCGTCTTACCGTGCCAGGTCTTGGATATGGCACTCGACCCAAAAACGGTACCCATTGGTAGTTGGGTCCATCTCGGTGGGCAAAGGGGCCCAGAAACACCCTCCTGATATCCGCCACACTGTACATACACACCGCTGAGCCCTTAAAGATGTTACTGTAAACCCGAGAAACAGCAATTATGAGTTTTTTGACAGCTTTGCCTTCAGGGACTTAAGACACAATTATCAAGGTCTGAATACAAAAAGACAGAATAAGCATTCAGGCTTAGTGGGAAATTTGGTGTAAATTGGATGTTTTAATACCTGGATGTTGTAAATACAGCATAGATAATAGGGTTTTTGGGATCCTTGGAGCTCATGAGAAAAACATCCTCTGAAAACGATCAAAACAAAATTTAGTGAGTGGTCAAGCAAATATGCCAAAATAGAGACGTACAGCAAAATACGAAGGCATTGTCATAGCATGGGTCACTTACGTAGTTCATCAAAGTGTGTGTCGATGCCGTTCAGGCCAGGAACGGAGCAGATTAAACGGGCCTTCAGGAAGGTGGTCCATTTGTTCACCAGACTCCTGTGGCCTCCAAAATCATTCTGTCAGGGACAAATTAAAACGTACTTGTATCATTTTACTTATCATGTTTACTTCAGACATGCCGATGTGTAAAAGAATATAATTAGTAGCAATTTTATTTATTTATTTTTTCTGAAGAAGGGCTGTGTGCCATTCAGAATTGAACAGAGAATCTTTTTTGAATTCCATTTGAATTGAGGTATAAAACAGGAACTAGAATTAAAATCAAAAGTTGAAATTTTAGGAAGTTAAATTAGGAAATTCAAAGAAATTCTTATAACCCCTATACATTTTAACAATAAAAAATAAAGTTTGTCAATACAAACTGAATTTTAAAGTGACATTTGAATTTGAAAGATTAAAAAAGAAAAAAAGTAGTTTAAAAAGTTAAAATATTTATGGCCTAGTGTGGATGAACTTTTCACTTCCCAGAATACCATCTGTATGTATTTTGTCGAGTTTATCTGAACTAAAATTCAGTACATTTCTGTGGGGCATGGCCAATTCAAATTGAATAGAGACAATTCAGTTTAAGGGATTATTCATTTCCAGAGCACAAACAAAATCTTCATTCCTATTGAAATGTGATTAAAGGGGTCATGAATAGAACTTTTTATTTTATAATGTAAAGATTTTCACTTAAAAAAAACCCCTCATAATTTACAAATAAAAAGCTACTTTCTACCCTGTGCCTCTTTTAAGACACTTTTTACAACATTTGCACTGTCACTGCTGCCGAGATTAACTAATTGTGAAAAGAATTCTACTGAGACATTCACGTAGTTGAAAATAAACAGCCAGCCTTGTGCTAAAGTATTAATTACCATTACGTAATAAAGCAAAATTAGTCATTTTGGCAGCTTGGTTTCAGTAAAAGCTGTTTTTAAACCAAAAAGGAAGTTTGGAGATCTGAAACTTACAGTGTTTTTATAGTACAATGACCTCTAACATGTCAAAAGATCAAGGAAATGTAGATTTCTCAATTCATGACCCCTTTAAAGTAGACGCTCTACAACATAAAAGTCCCAAAAACATTAACTCCAGTCATCTTTAGCACAGACACCATTTATTTATAGAATGATTATTGATGATTCATTCATTTTAAAGAGGTGTGTGCATGTGTATATACACACATATTTCTACAATCTTGTTTTACGTAAAAACCTGGCAGTTGGCATGTGAAACACATGAGCAATATAAACAATCTCCTTTACTGTGGATTGATCAGCTCTAATTAGCAGGGCTGGAAAATGCGTTGCATAAACTAAACATACACTCTGCATAATAAGACAATTGTCTGTGTCGGTGAAGGGAGGATTCCAGTCATACCGGAATACCGAGCGAGCTGTAATTGAGAACACCTTTCTACCACTTCAAGCTGTAGACTCACACTTGAGCTGAGCGAGTCTGCCAAAGTCTCACATTTTCTCCACAGAGCAGTCTTTGTTCTCTCGGCTGATGCCTCCTGTGACATTTTAGCCATCTCTTAAGTTTCACAATGGGGGGTGAGAGCAAGGCCACAAAACAGAGCTGAAGCCAAATGCAAAAACACTGGCCGAGTCATCTAGCTACCTGTATCGCCACCATGAGGAGGAGAGGAATGGAGCAAAGGTGTTGTATGCATTACCGTAGTAAAGAGAAATCACAAATGAGATCTAGTTAATATCTCAATCGTCTCTTCTAGACTACAAGAATAAATGGAAACAGCCTCCTGTTTCTTAAAGTATTTTTCTGAGAAAAAGAGTCCTAAACTGTGCTCAAATTTGCCAAGATATCAACAAAGTAAGAGATTTCAATATGGCATCGTCAGATTGGAAAAATACTGGCAAAATATGATTGTGATGACATTTTTGCAAAATTATATTACGTAGATTCTTGCAGGTTTTATGACATTCTCAAAGTGAAATGTCCAGTGTGTAGCGTGTTTGGTTTTATCGATAGTATTAACAAAAGCAAACATGAGATTTAATCGCATTTGCTGAAGCAATCGTTTAATTTTAGCTCACTTCTACAAGTCTTTTATCTCTATTGGCATGATACGTGTTTCACAAGATTCATACCTAAGTGCTTTGCAGTGCAAGTGCAATGCTGTACCAGGTGTGCTACCGAGCAAGTTTACTACATCAGAAAGCCATAAACATGGAGCTGGTTATGTGATGCAAACTTCAAAATGCATTACTTTACAAATGGTAAAAGTCTTGAGGTTGGAATTTTGCAAAAATATAGGCAGAGGCATATTTTTCTCAATGATCCTAGGTTGGATCTGGGGCAAAGCTGAAACATAACTGATAACTCTGTATATAAAATGAGCTTAAGTGTGTGTGGACCAGCCTGTGGTGTCATGCATTTGTGGTCCTTTGGTGTATGTGCGTGTGAAGAGTATCTGTACCTTGCACAGCTGTCCGATTCTGGCGTGTGTGGCTTTGCTGATTTGCTCTCCATCAATGGCGTTCTCTCTGAAGAACAAATAGATCTTGTCGTCTTCAGGGTTGTCACTCTCTGGGATGAGATGCACACTGATAAATCTAGGATCTGGAAGGACAACAAACAAACAAAACATTAACACAAAAGAATAAAAATGCATAATACAACAAAAATAGTGTGGACCAATAACGTCAACAGCAAGAGTACTGACAGTTTTAGATTTCATTTTAAGCTTCATTGTTCATAGAGTTGAATGGGTCTGACTCTCAAATTTACATGTGTGTGTGTCTTAGGGAGATGTTAAGTGTGCATAGGCTCTATTTATGGTGTTGTGGGCCCCAGCTCTCCACAGCCTGTTTTTCATGGTTATTGCTGTATTCACAGAGGTCCAAGAGCCACATCACAAACATCTCACATGACATTACTGTGGCACCAGCTAACATTGACCTACACAGTCACCTCACCACATCTACACACACACACACATACACACACACGTGCATACACACACTCCTATGATGCAAAACTTGTTCACTGGAGCCAAAGGCATTCATTTAATCTTTAATTGTTACTGTGTTAACAAAAAAGAAGTATGAGGAGATGATGCTTTTTGGTGTTTATATAATCCTAATTCCATCAGATGTATACAGACACACATGCAAGCACACAAAATGTGAGGTAATGATATTTGATAACTTTTAAGTTTCTGATCGAGATTAAAAATCCAGTTCTTCTGGTTAAGGAGTTCTCTGTTTCTCTCTCACACATATAACTGCCTGTTTCCACAGAATAAACAGTCATTTAAACTGAATTATTAAATTTGAGAATAAGAAGTAAAGTTAGAAATAAGAAGTAACATCGTGTTGTGAGAAATAAATTCACAATTTATAATGTTACGATATTTACAATATTTATATTCTAACAAATATTATTCTTTTGAACTTTTTATTCAAAAAATGCAACATCTTAAAATATTAAGCAGCACAAGTTTTTTCAACATTGAAAGCAGAAAATTAGCATATTCGAATTAATTCTGAAGGATCATGTGACACTGAAGACTGAAGTAATGGCTGCTAAAAATGCAGCTTTGCTTCACAGGAATAAATGACATTTAACATATATTCAAATAGAAAACTGTTATTTTAAACTGTAACAATGTTGCACAAATTAATGTTTTAACTGTATTTTTCAAATCATTGTCGTGTTGGTGAACAAAGGAAATGTAAAAAATCTTAGACACTTTTGAACAGTAGTGTCTGTGTACATAGTATATTTATTTGTTTGCATTCATTTAAAATATATACAAAGTTGTGTGTAAATATGTGTTTGTGTCTCACCATTGAGCCATCTGGAGTCATGCTGCTCTGTTCTGATTGGATGGTGCTTGCCTAACGTTCGGAAAATGGCAAAGTCCCGGCCCATGAAGTCAGCTGATGTCCCAGCATAAAGTTCCCCATCTGATTATCAAAAACACTAATTAAAACTCATTTTTAGGATGGTTGATGTGAGTTCAATATGGATGGCAAGAATGAAATGTCAGGAGACAGGAGGAACTAGTTCAGTCTGGGTTTTGTAAACTTTAATAACGGCTCAGGTGAGGACTCAAAGAGGTGTGACAGTCAACACTCGCAGGCAATTTCACGCTCAAGGATGGCGTGAGAGAACGGGACTGTGTGTGTGTCATGAGTGACCTTTACTCTGAGATGAGAGATTTAACAGTAGAACGCTCTGCAGGTAAAGCACAAAACCAGAGGAGCAGTCTGCACTGGTCATCCTCGAAGAGAGAGCATTAATCAAGGGTGTTGAGTTTCCATTCAGAACACATGAACCAGAGCAAAACACACTCCGGATTATGCACTGCCACACACCAAAATACACAAACACAGACCTGTATTATTTTTCTCTAACCAAATCTGCTTTATGTTCTGTTTATAGTTTAATTAATTTCTCAGGGTGACAAACAAAATAGCTCAGTGAAGCATAACAACTGCTATTGAGAAAACAAACATATGCACTGTAATTATGATATCAGCATATCTGAGTCAAAAGTTTAATTGAAAATGTAACATCAATGACATAGTATTTGATACATAAACTTTCCGTTTATTTATATTAGATACTATATTTAAATTAGATTCTGAATCCTTTGTTGTCCAAAGTGGTCTTATATTTGGACCCAACTGAACAAACTACACATTTTCTAAAAAAAAATTTAATTAAATTAAATTAACATGAAATTATAATAAATAAATCCTGAATAAATAAATATATTAAAATAAATAATTATATTTTTGGAATTAGTCAGAGTTTTTTTCACACATTATAAACTTTACCTTTGATAGATTTGTCTTCTCTGTGCATTGCATTTGTATTATGGTATCAGAAACCTATTACTTGCTTGTTTTTATAGATTATAACAATGCACAATGACAATAAAACTGAATCTAATCCAATCAAATCTAATCAAACTTTCAGAGCGGGTAATGAATCTAGTCATGTGACTTTACACCACCCATGTAAAAATGTGAAGTCAAGAAATTTTTTATTTTTTTTTAGTTTATATAAAATACATCTACCTGTACAAACTTTTTAAGACCCTTAAAATTAAATCTTGACTTCTAGGATTATAATGAACTTAAATATTAACCAGAAAATCAGTCGTTCATATTCAGCATCACTCACCGATCAGCATGGAAGCAGTCAGCAGTTTGGGGTCATAGGGACTCTTTCCACGGCCATTCTCAAAGCTCGATGACCCTAGCCGAAAGATGTTGTCCTGGACAGAAACGAGCATAAAATTAATCTCTGTGCAAATGACAATCCACAATGAAACATTTATCAAATTTCCGTCAGATTTCTAGGCTACTCTGTGATTCGAAAAATTTGACCATCATTTTTAGGTCTTGTCTAAGTGACCAATGCTTCTAAATAATCAAAAGTGACATCATTTGATAAAACAGAATCACCAATAAACTGTGAAAGAATAACTGATGTGGGATGGATGTACCTCCGGGCGTTTGCTCACTTCCACATAAGCACAAACGGGATGGAAGGCTCCTGTTCCACACACATACAAGTGCGTCTGATTAAACGGCTGCAGGACCTTTATGAAGTTTGAGCACTCCTTCTGCAGAGAGAGAGAGAACAAAACAACATCAATTAATGATCATAAAAATGGCATTTATATTGATGTAGCCAATATTTTACCAACAGAAACTTCCAAAACAACACCTTGGACATGACAGAGAGAAAAGCAAACTAAATCTGTGGTGTTTCTATATTTCTTGATTCACAGTGGTCACTACGTTCTTAGATAAATAAACACATGCCATCTGTGTCAACAAATGCCGACAGACACAGCTTATCACCTACACACACACACACACACATACACACGCAGTGGCCCAAGAAAGTACTTGGACACTTAGGACACACTTAATGTATGAATGTCAGCATGTCAGCAGCAAATCAGCATATTCAAATTTCTGATGGATCATGTGACACTGAAGACTGGAGTAATGATGCTGAAAATTCAGTTTGCATTACAGGAATAAATTACATTTTAAAATACATTCATATTCTATATATATTTTTAAAATTGTAATAATACTTTACAGTTTTAGTGCTTTACTGTATTTATGATCAAATTAAAAAATAAAAAATAAAAATATGACATTTGAACAGTAGTGAAGATGAATGATGTATGTGTTTACTTTGTTTTCCAAAGTAGTCTTATATTTGGACCCCACTGGACAAACTACACACATTTTCTTAAAATAAATAATTATATTTTATCAGTCCAATAACAACATGAGTTTTTATCACTGACAGACTGGAGTAATGATGCTTAAAATTCAGCTTTGATATCACAGAAATGATTACTTTTTAAAATGTATTCTATATTCTATATATATTTTAAATTGTAATAATATTTTACAATATTACTGTTTTATTGTATTTATGATCAAACTAAAAATAAAAATAAAAAAATATTGTTTTTTATTGATGCTAAACTTTTGAACAGTAGTGAAGACGAATGAAGTATTTGTTTACTTTCTGATTTCCAATACTTACTGAAACACAGTTATTGTGGTGACCTAAACCTGTGATTAGGACACCTGTGTGGGAACTGACTTCATACATTCACTAATAATTACCTTCATATTATCACCTTCGATATTATAGGGGTTCACTCATAAGTTTAGGTTGCATAATGATGTGTTTTGATGTCATCAGATTGTCATGCTGTAATCTGTGGACTGACTCAATCATTTCATGTTCTTTAATATTGCGTCATTCCTCCGTTTATGTCATTTCTGTGTTCATTAAACTCCTACAGCAGAATTCCACACACAGCGGCACAGCTGACCAACATGCTCCCACAAAGCGCTTCATTAAAAGGAAAATATCACAACAGCTGGAGCTGTTTTTCAGCAGGGTGTTTAGTGCATTAACAGGGAAATCCTGTTATCGGCGTCCATAGCTCCCCAGTGGCCTGTACTCTCAGGGTTAGTGTGTGTGTGTGTGTGTGTGTGTGTGTGTGTGCGTGTGCGTGTGCATGTGTGTGTTATTTGTCAGCTCCACTGTAGCATCTGAGCAGGGATTTTGCCTATGGAAATGTGCATGCGTGTGATGATCAGAAGCTCCTCAGTTGTGTTAAAGCCACGTGTCTGAGCAAGTCTCATCTGGAACAGACTGAAGTGACTCATCTGATGTGGAAAAGGTTTACAAAAAACTATGACAACATATAATATGTGACTCAAAGATTTGGCTTTTCTACACCATCAATATTGACTGACTGATACTTTAGTTTAGCTATATTTCTCCAACCTCCTATCCCAAGTTAATATCCCATGATAATTATATGTAACTAATTTGTATGGTGATTTCTCCCAGCAACCAGCAAACATTTGTTAATTGGATAACTCAGAATTAATTTAAACTGACATGTTTCTGCACACACTTTCATCAAGACAAAAATGCATGGTTTTAATTAAAGTTTAAGTTCTCCACTCAATGTATTGCTGGTTCACCTTCTTAATAGTGGTTTGTTACTTCTATACACATTGTTTGATAGTGAAATTGCACAGTAACCAATAGGAAAACAGTATTTAAAAGATTTCAAAAAGTTGCTTTGTCCATGCTATTGGTTTTGACCAAGGCTTATCTGAAAAAAAAAAAAATAAAAAATAAAATAATAAATTTTAATAAATTGTTTTAAATGTCAATATTTCATGCTAATTTTAATTATTTTTAAGTGTACAAATGCATTTAAAACACTTAGAAATTACAACTGTGAATGAAATAAAATTAATTAAACTAAACTAAAATAAAATGTATAAAACAAAATGGTAAAATACAATAAAATACATATTATTTTTAAAATAAATGCTAATTTTATGTTAAAGTTATTTATTGCAAAATCCACAGATGAATTCAAACACTTCTATTTAAACACTTGTCTAATTTGACCTAACATGCAGCACCACCACCAACATAAATGGTTGTTTTTGTGAAGACTTCTGGTTCATAAGCATTGATCTCACTCTCTTTTTGTTTCTTACAAATTGCGGCTGAGATCCTTCAACAGGACCAGCCGTTTTCTACCTTCACTGGCCCTCAAAAGGGCCCTAAATTGACGTAGTCCCACTTACTTCAAACAAGCTTGAGCCAACCTCTCTTTGAACAGAACAAGCCTCAGTCAATCTGTCTCTTTTGACCAGCACCACTCTCTTCACATAAAAGCCATCTTTCAGTGAGCACCCCGCCATTCATCGAAACCATGTTTACATCAAACTGCATGTTATTGCAATTCAAATAAGTACCATTGAAACCCAACCAACCTTACAGTTTCTTTATGATGCTAACAGCGCCGAGGGCCGCTTTCTATGGCTCTATATGTTCAAGGCAGCGCCTCGGGCAGGATCTGCGATGGAATTTATGAGAGCAAATGGCAGCCCAGCCTGGAAAGTGTTTATACACCGTTGTCCCACAATTCAGTGATTTGGTTTTTATTCATTCTTCCACTGACATCTGCTGAACTGATTTTCTGAGAGAAACCTTCAACTTTGTTTGTGAAAGCAAAAGACAGATGACAGACAAGCTCAGCTTTACCTTCACAGAATGAGCGGTTCTTGTCAAAAGCAAACCAATCGTTTCTTGATTTTGGATCCATCTCAAATATTACATTTACTTTCAATAAAAGACATACAGTATATAATGGGAAAAAAAATATTGTATTGCTCTTTTAAACGCTGAGGTACTATGTAAACACACACTTCTGCTCAAAAGTTTGGGGTCAGATTTTTTAATGTTTTTGAACAAACTCTCATATGCTCACCAAGGTTGCATTTATTTGATTAAAAATAAAGTAAAATATTGTGAAATATTATTACAATTTAAAAGAACTGTTTTCTATTTGAAAGAATTTTAAAATGTAATTTATTTTTGTGATGCAAAGCTGAATTTTCTGCATCATTACGCCAGTCTTCAAAGTCGCATGATCCTTCATGAATTAATGTTATTGTGCTGCTCAAATAACATTTCTTATTATTACCAAAGTATATTACCAATATATATTTAGTAAAATATTAGATCTGATCATCGCTCTCTTCACAGTTACAGATTTTTGTGTAATCATTTATGTAGTTTCATTTTGCTGATCTAATTATGAGTTATATCATGCATACATGTACTACAAAGCGAGACATAAGAGAGATGAAGCAGAGAGAAGTGGAACAGTGCAGACAAACAAGCAGTTCACTGCATCAGTGAGGTCTATCCGACAGATCTCAGGGTTGTGGAGAGGACAGAAGAGAGAGGATGGAAAAAAATACAAAGTGAAAGAGAAGCACTTACCTGGACGTCCTTCCCAGCCCACTTGCATTCATCTCGCCGAGAAGGTGAAGGAGGCCAGGATATCTACCGGTCAGAGAGAGAGAGAGAGAGAGAGAGAGAGAGTTAAAGGAGAAAGAATACTGGGAAATCTTTTGTTGGAAGCTTCTTGTTGTCTATTAACCTTTAGAGACCCACTAGCAACCTACTTGTTTTGAGCAAGTAAATTTTTCCTCTTAATATCGGTTAAAACTACAAAACAGTAGCAGTAATTCACCCTAAAATATACCATAGAAATAAGTTTATCAGGACAATATTACAATTTGAAGCTCCCAGCATGCAATACACACACATCACATTAAGGTCACTGATGCCATTGATAACCATTTTAGATCAAATTTAGCAATCTACAAAAAGTATTTGAACTGTAATATTATTATATTATATATTACATAATTAATTTAACAATTTATTACAACATGTTTAGTAATAAAAAGGGGGGAAATGTACTTAATCACACAAGAGAGTCCTTCAAGTTAAAAAACAACAAATATTTATTATTATTAACCATGTTAAAAACAGTTGAGCTGCTTATTTATTTTATTTATTTATTTATTTTTTTTCCTCAGGACTCTTTGATGAAGAGAAAGTAAAAAAAAAAAACAGCATTTATTTGAAGTAGAATATATTGTAACATTATACATTTGTAATATTATAAATACCTTACTGTCACGTTTGACCGATGTATGCATCCTTGCTAAATAAAATTATTAATTTAATAAATAAATAAATAACTTGCTGACCCAAAATGGTCAGAACATTTGTTTATCCTAATTTCTAGCTTGTTAAACCATATGTACTTGTATACTTCGTAAAACAAAATTTCACTCCAAAATGGTAAATATGCATAATCATGAAAATTTTTATAACCACTGATTTCCTAAAAATATGCCTGTCCCGAAGCTCCAACATATATTCCATTCTTTAACACAAATCTGTATACATCTATATTAGCTAACGCATTAGCTCGAGTCTAGACACAACTTTCCAGATGTGTTGTGTAAATCCTAGGAATCGTGCAAGAGGTCTTTGGTGGAAAGAGTAATGGAATTGTATTAATGGGAAGAACTGAATATTCACTCTTGGAAGTTGGCATGGAGGAAGAAAGTTTTCTTGGGTAGCGGTACATGTTGCCCTCATTAGACCTCCATTATAAAAGTGTTATAGTATACGTCACTATTCCTGACAACAACTGAATTAGTTGACCCCCTTTTTTGTTTTATAATGGGACAAAATGACCAATGGAAACATCTCTATAAACCTCTTTCAGCTCAGGTATATATATAGAGAGAGAACATGTTCTGTGTGAACAGCTTCTTATGTAACAAAGATAGCTGACTAAAGTAAATTCTTCAGGATAAAATTATATATATATATATCCTGTGCTTCCTCATACGGTAACATTTATATTACCTTTGTTCTGTGAAGGTTATTTTTATAAAGTTGTATATAGACTAAAATGGGCTGTGGTTTTGCCCTGGCGCCGTTTGTCTGTACTTTGCTTCGTTTATTTTGTTCATTATTTATCCAGGTGAATGGATAGCAGCTCTCAGCCAGACTCTATGTGATCAGTATGACAGCTTTGCCCTTAAATATTCATACTCTTTTCACTGGAAACAGATCCCCCTGTGTGCTGATGTGTTCATGTTTGTGTGTATAAGACTGAGAGAGAGAGAGAACAAGAGAATAAGAGAGAGAGAGCGAGAGAAAGAGAGAGAGACCATGTATGTTTAAGTAGCAAGAACAGCTATTTTATATGTATCTTTTATGTATATAAAGCATGCATAATGCTTATCAATTTCTCATTGTGCTATATTACCAAATATTGGATTCAGTCTTAACTTGTTTCTGTCGATTATGACAGGTTTTGTATTTCTTATTTAAACAGATTGATTGTAGGCCTCATTGATCTGAGAGTGTACACCTCAGTATTGGGGTAAATATTGCCAAAATTATCCACAGTGAATGCATTTTTCACTCAAAAACTGAGGTGCATAAGCTCAGATCAATGAGACCTACTATTATCAGTTCTAGGGATGTAACGATTCACTCAACTCACGATTCGATTCGAGTATCTTCGGAACACAAATTAAGATATTTTTGATGAAATGTGAGAGCTCTCTGACTAGGGATGTAACGATTCACTCAACTCACGATTCGAATCACGATTTTGATTTCACGATTTGATTCGATTCACGATTTTTTTTTTACAAAATGAGATTTAAGACAAATTATAAATTAAATATGTCCTTTTATTTTTGCTTGGACAAAATGATGCACGTTTCTTTGTGAAATTGAAATATAACACTATAATAATTAGGGGTGTAACGATTCATTGATATGGATCGATATATTGATATGATGTCTGACGATACGATGCATCGATGCCACGCGTAAAGAATACTTTCCGTACCCACTGTAAGTACTGCCCGAAGGCACAAGGTGAGCATAAAAGATGCTCGGGATTGTTGGCGGAACAGTCGAACACTGTGTGAGAAGTTTTCTGCGCACACATCTAAAGCACGCGCACGCACGCACACAGACAGCAGCATCTACACCGCGCGAATACTAAATTGAGCTCTCTTCCGCTTTTGTGTGCATGGATGACTAAATACAGACAAAATTACTTCAATGGATGAATAAATACAGACAAAATTACTTCAAAATGCGCGGGTGAATATCCTAGTAAACACAGTCGGTTAGGCATATGTCTTAACGTAAACAGTTGAGAAAGAAAAGGCATGTGTATCACTAGTTAAATCCGTGCTTTCTTTCTTAAAGTTAAAGCAAACTAATAATAAATCTAATGGTGTCAAAGAAAAATACAAGTGCTCACTGCTCCTGACTAAATAACCTTTGTAACATCAAAAATGATTAATCTATATTTAATTTATACATTGAAGACTATGCACTTATTTTACATTTGATTATTACATTTCTGTAGCGTACCTGAAAATTGATTTTAGACTGAGCTGAAAAACCTGAAAAGCACTGTTTATTGAACTTGTGTCTTTGTATTTATTTTCTTCTGTTGCTTGTAATTTGGTTATCTGTAGAAAATATTTTTAGCACTGAGCCCATAGTAGCAGCCACAATTGTTTTTCCAATTGTTTATTTTCTTTATTATTAAAAAAAAAAAGTGTAGGCCTATTTTTTTGTTGTGAACGTCCCAATTGAGGTACAGGATGTGAAAATTTCAGATAAATGTTCATGTTATATATTTTCGGTTGCATTTGCGAGTTAATAAAAATGTAGATGGTTATTTAAAATAGGTATATAATATCATAATATCGATGTATCGATCGATATACTCCTGTATCAAATTGAACCGTAATCGTATCGTATAATTTTTTGAGGTATCGGCAAATATCGTATCGCTGAGTATGAGAATCGATATCGTATCGTATTGTGACGAACCATCCGATTTACACCCCTAATAATAATATACTAATATAGCACTTGCATAATATTGCTCTTTTGTTGGTTTTGATTGCTTCTATTGTCCTCATTTGTAAGTCGTTTTGGATAAAAGTGTCTGCTAATTGTCTAAATTTAAATATAATATAAATGTAAATAACAAAACTAAATTGAAATTTTAAAACAAGCCCCAAATCAAATAAATAAGTAACACAAATAAAATAAATCTCTTCATATAAACAAAATAAGGCTTTGTCTGTGCTCTTTCCATGTAAAATTAGAGTCAACCACTCCATTTTAATCATGATCCAAACAAAGATGCTGCATACATGCAACATGAGCAGTTTTTAATCTAAATTAGATTGTATAATTTCGAAATTTGAAGCAAAATCAGAATGGTTTGACTTCAGTTTTGTGAAACTATACATACAAAAATATCTGCATGAAACAGAAACAGCAGATGAGCTGAATGAGATGCAGATTCACTCTCTGCCAGCAGGTGGCGCTTACAGCGTTTCCTTGGTTTCCGCTGTAAACAAAGCAGCGCTGCACTTATGAACTTTAATATGCATTATACAGAGGCAAGATACAAAGAAAAAATACCATCTAAACTTTTCTAAAGACAGTAAGTTCCCTTCAGACATACATTAATATAAACTCCTACCTCTAAATTAATCGCGTTTTTGTTTAGCATCTCAACCGATTTGAATCATCACATATTTGACAAAACCTGTGCTAACTGAAAGAAAACAAGTTGACAAAAAGATTGAATCTGAGATTTGGTGATAATATAGCATAATGAAAGATTTTAAAGGCTAGCCATTTTTGACTGGGAACACCAAATTGGAATTGTAAAGGATTTTAAGCACAGGCTATTTTAAGTATTTTTGCTTTAATTTGTTAGCTGTGGTGTTTAAAGCTGATGACTTTTGAGACACAACATCCCTGAAAGGATTTAGTGTGCTGACAGTTTTAACATGCTAACTGTGACTTCTGAGAAATCACAAAATCACAATCCTGACAGCAACCAAAACATCCTTTTCAAGACAATTTCAATCAATTTCATTTGAATGATGTCCCATGTGCAGTGTTGCCAGATTGGATGGACTATTTCCAGCCCAAAAGCTCACAAAAACCCGCCCACTCCAACAAAAAAACACCAAAACTTTAACTGTCAAAATAATGTGATAGAATATGTCAATCAAGGTTGATAAGAGCCATTTTTAACTCCTTAAAGCAAAATAATGATGACAAAATAATATAAATATAACGTTAGATACATTTCAATCAAATCGGGGCAAATACATTAAAGAGAATTACCAAATATGATCAAAATGACAATCAAGAAATTAACATACCCTCGAAAAAACACATGCATCATTTTCAATGTCAACAGTTAGAATTTAAATGCAAAAAAGTGCCTAATATAAGTGATCGGAAAAAGCAAAGCAATTAGGTATTTCACACTCGTTTATGCACACACCATGACCGTCAAAACTGTGCCATTCATTGATGCATACAATTCATTGTTATAAATAACAACAACAATAATGCGCTTACCTTCGTGTCGCTCTATAATTTCACACAGAACTAGAGGAAGTGTTTCGTGAAGTTCATATTGTAGAACATTAGGCTACAGAACGTTAAACACCAATCTGGTCAAAACCAATCTGGACCGTTTAAAAGATAAAAGACAGGATCGTATAGATATAAATAGATTTTGATTAAATAATTTAACTGTGCTCTGATTTCGGAGTTGCAGTGATATTAGAGCCTTCGTGTCATCTCTCCCTCAACAGGTGTAATTCACGTTTTGACAGTTAAAACACTCTCCCACTCTTTACCATGTAACTTATATTTGTGACCCTGGACCACAAAACCAGTCTTAAGTCGCTGGGGTATATTTGTAGCAATAGCCAAAAATACATTGTATGGGTCAAAATTATCGATTTTTCTTTTATGCCAAAAATCATTACATTTACATTTACATTTAGTCATTTTGCAGACGCTTTTATCCAAAGCGACTTACAATTGGGGGATACATAAAGCGATTCTTCTTAAAGAGGCAAAAAGATACAGGAAGTGCTTGTAATACCAAGTTTCTAGACATTGTTCAAATAAGTGATTGGCTAAAAGTGATTGGCCGCATCAACATCAGCACCAGTCATCTTTGCAGTGTGCGTGTGTGTTTAGTAACGTCGTGATGACTGATTGGATGCAGTACATGCACACTTGGGACTGTTTGTTAACCAATTAGCCTATACAATTTATGTGTTTGAAAACTGACCCCAAACCAGCCCAAATTTTGTCCACCCGCCCAAGCCAATTTTTACCCGTACAATCAAATTCAAAACCGCCCAATCTGGCATCACTGCCCATGTGCAATGCTGACCATCCAAATTGGTTAATGTAATCCTGATTGTTTTAATGGCTGTTCTAACACCCTCTTCTTACCAGTTGCATTTCCAGATTGATGTCCACCAAGTTGAAGGACAGCACATGGTCTTTGGCCCCCACAAAGAGCCGACCTCTCTCCTCGTCCAATAAAAAGGAGTGATAGGCAGAGCTGTTGGCCAATCCGTTGAAAGTGAGCAGGTTGTTGGATTCCAACATTTCTGTGGGAAAAATGAACATAGTATATTGGATTTATTGGGTCTCCTACAAACTTCAAAAGCTGACAGAAACATTAACACCCATATGCTGTGCTTTCAAATATGGTCCACAATACGTAAAACTTGATGCTTTCCGACCTCATCTTCATTTTTTAGAGTTATATGGTTGAGAGGGAGACAGATAGATGGACCTTGGCTCTGACAGCGAACAGCTCAGCAGGGACGGCAGCTCTGCTCTAGTGTGTGTGAGACGTGTGACTGTGGTTTGGCTAAAAGACAGCTGGGAAAGCTGGCGGTGCTCATGGATACTTTATTTTACATGGATAGATATTTGCTTGTGGATTTTGCTTTTGTTCCTTATGTAGTTTATTCTCTACACAGCAAAAAGCTGAATGAAACCAAGCCAACAAGAGTAAACGAGAGTAATCTACATAAATTAGCTTCAGGTAGCTTCAAAATATTTCCTAGGGATTTCTTATTTTATTTGTTTGTTATAGGAATAGCCTAACCAAAAATGACATTTCTGTCTTCATTTACTCGCGCTCAGATTCACTCAACAGTGACTGACAAGCCACAAGAACGCACAGTAAAAGTAGGAAGTCTTCAGAAGACGTGCAGTAGCTTTTTGTGAGGAACACACTGGAATTTAAGTTATCTTGACATTCAAATTTTGAAAATGTGCATGCAGAGATGATATCTGAGGGCTACAGTGGATTTTCATTGAATAATGACTGACAGTTTTGGTTTGTTCCTCAAACAAACCTATCATGTTGCTTCAGACGACTCAGAATAAAGTGCATGATTTGTATGGAACATTTATTTTTTGGCTATCAAGTCCTTTTTGGAGGACTTATCATGCATTCGCTGTATTCAAAAAACACTTTGAACAGGATGCCTTACATCTTTAATATACTCTCAGAAAAAAGGTACAAAAGCTGTCACTTGGGCAGTACCCTTCAAAAGGTACACCTTTGTACCTTATTTACTCCTAAAGAGTGCATATTAGTAGCTTAAAAGTGCATATTGGTACCTGGATGGCTCAAATTAGTGCCTGTTGAAAGGGTACAGTCCCAGTCACAGCTCTGGTACCTTTTTTTCCGAGAGTTTACATCTCTTAACTGATATTCTACACAAGAAAGTAAGTCATACAGGTCTGGAACCTGGAATCTGTTTAAGTCACTAAGACAAATAAAATTGAACGTTTTGTCAGAGTCAGCATGTAGCAGTCAACACGCATACCTAACTGTGGGTCTCTGTCCGTCATTATATATAACTCTTAAGTTTGTTCTGTTAGTTGGTGTGTGGTGTAAAGCCACGTTAAAGAAAACAGAAAATGTGCGACAGGACCAGCAAGCTGTAATTACAGCATTTGTTCTTAAGGGAAGTAAGATTTTCCCTGCCGTCACAATTGCTCCCCAGAGCGACATTAATAGCAGCTGAGAAATATGGAAGTGTTTGGACAATTATTGTAACCTATGTGTGTGTGTGTGTGTGTGTGTGTGTGTGTGTGTGTGTTAGGTTGTATTAGGTTAAGGCAAAAAGGGCAGCAGATGAAACACACAGTGAGGGATAGAATCATCCACATTACTTTTAGGATCCAAAAATGTTTTTTAGCCTGTTGCTTACCTACTAAAAATTGCTAATTAATTAATTAATAAAAAAGCATTTTATACACACACACACACACACACACACACACACACACATATAAACAAGTGAATTAAACAATGAATTAAGGAATACTTAGTACTTACATAATACTTAAAGCAATTTTGCATCATGTAAGTCTTCATAACTACACACTCACACACTTATAATGTATTTATATGTCAGAACGGGTTTTCAAAGGGCCTGAGGGGAAAAAGAGGAAGAACAGGTGAGAGGAAAGAGTGAAAGAGGAAAGTGTGAGAAAGGAAAGACAAACCTTGTGGAGTGCACAGAGGAGAATAGAAGACCAGAATGAAGAAAGGTTAAGACTAAGGTTGAGATGACTTAAAAGAGGTCAGTTAGAGAAGAGGAGAAAGAGAGAACGAGAGTGAATCTCTCACTTGGGTTTGGAGTGGCTGTGGTGTTTCCATTTGGCACCATGACTAAAAAACACTCAGAATGCCTTTTATACACTCAGACACACTCGAAACACCATGGAATTCATCTCACCATCACTTCAATGTGACCGCTCACGAACACACAGGCTTTTTCGAAGACAAAACTGTGTCTGTTCAAATAAAAACTGTTCAGAAAGCTATAATCCTTTAATTTCAGTCAAGACCTCACACAAAATCAGACAGTTTTTCACTATCTCTGTGCTCACTATGGGGAAAGAAATTGTGGAATTGGTTTAAACATGATAAAATGTGTAAAACAGAGCACTATTATTCACAGCTGAAAGCCTTGGCAAATAAGCAAAACTGTAAACAAAATAAGTGAAATGCACATTTAGACATTTTTGCAAATACTGTAAACTTGCAAAAAATTATTAAAATATTTATAAAATATATTTACATTGTACAATATTTGCTTATTTTAAGTAAATATAATAATGCATGTGTGTGTAACATCAACTGACACAGGCGTCTCATCGGATTGTCAAGGGTCTGCTGCTTGCGTAATACACTTGTGCTGAGAAGAGGTCTAATTAAAATATGCACACATATACAGCAGTCAAACACACAAACACTCTCTTAAACTGCAAAATGACTCCATCAACAATCACAAACACTCACTTTAGAGAGGAAATTAACTGCACTTGATTACTGTCGAATTTTGAAAAGCATTGCATTTGAACAAATAGTCTGTGTACAGTATGTACAAATGTGTGAATGTACTAAAACATTGTGACTTTGTTGTAATTGTGTCATCATCGAAACAAATCAGTCATCAAGTTTTTCTCTGGTAAATAGGTGAAAACAAAGCATGAGGTAATGTTTAGATTTTTTAACATCTCTGTTATGATCCAGATGGTTGCCAGGGCATTCCAAACTCATAAATCAGATACCACAGATAGAACATCATCATACAATTAGTACATCATTCTGCTCATTGTGCATGTCTTTGAGTGTGTGATCAGATTGAGGTGTGAGAAGTGCATTTAATTGGGTTTTGTAATAAAATACCTTCTGAGAACATTAAGTTTTCAACCTGGAGTAATAAAGCCTGATCTTGTGTAAAATGTGAATATGAGATTTATGATCTAACTGCCTAGTAAAACAGTGAAAAGTGCTTTTTTAAATCAGTAATATCCATTACACACAGCCACATAACTCCGATATAAAGACTCAAAAAGTGACTGCTCTTGGCAGGTTTCAGTTAGAATTCATTATAGCGACAGTTGCTGTGTGAATCAATAGTGCATGAGCTGTAATTATCATATAGCCCAGAGTTATTTATCTATTAAAGACTACCTGAGAAAACCCTGAGGAGCAAGTTCTCAGAATAAAGGATGAGAACTGAACTAAACTTTGAGCTGCAAAGACAAAGACAAGGAACACCAAACGGGTTTAAAGTTCAGTCTAACTATCAATCTAGAGTTGCATAACTATCAATCTAGAGTCTAAAGTCGCTTTTTACATACTGGTAAAAAATGTATAGCCTGAATGCACTGTAAGTAACTGTAAAAGCGTCTGCTAAATGTATAAATTATTAATTATTAAATTATTAAAGTTGCATTACATTTATTAAAAGTGACAGTAAAGACACTTATAATAAGATTTCAAAGACAACTTTCTATTCATCAAAAAATCCTGAAAAATGTATGAAACTAAAATATTAAGCAGCACAACTGTTTTCAACATCAATAATAATTAAAAATGTTTCTTGAGCAGCAAATCAGCATATTAGAATGATAGAATGACAATGAAGACTGGAGTAATCATGCTGAAAAATCAGCTTTGTCATCACAGGAATAAATTACATTTTAAAAGATATTAAAATAGAAAGCAGCTCTTTAAAATTTTAATAATATTTTACAATATTACTGTTTTTTTACTGTATTTTAGATCAAATAAATGCAGCTTTGGTGAGCACAATCGACTTCATAAGAGACTTCTTTAAAAACCTCAAACCCGAAACAGTAGTGTATCATGGTTTAGCTGAGTCAGGACAAAAACGGGTCATGTTCTGTGTCAGATTCCAGAGCATACGGTGCCCCTGCCTGGCATTGTGGGTAATCTACAGTAGCAGCACGCAGTCACACAGGAGGAAGTGGCTTTAGACATGCTGCTAATCTGAACTTCGCCGGTTTAAAGAGGAGAAGAGCTAGTCTCAGCCTCTTCAAACCACTGAGACCGTCTCTCTGTCTCTTTCCCTCCATCTATTGTTGTGGAAAAACATTGAGAATACAAGCGAGGAAGGGAGGGCAGGTGGAGGCAGAGGAACAGTCCCATCTGAGGCAGATAAAAATAAAATTCCCTACCCTACATACTGCCTGCACTCTCTGTGTGTGTCACACACGTGTGTGTGTGTGTGTGTGTGTGTGTGTGTGAACTTTTATAAAGAATATCTCTTTGGATTTGAGACTTTAGTCTTTGCAACTTTACAGATCTTCTTTATGCACCAAGACCTTGTAACACTCCAAAGAGAAAGGACAAATTGAAATCGCATCATATGACCCCTTTAAAAGTAATGGGCGTGTCAATCCTAAATTTAAGACTCCTTAACCCCTTAACTGTCACCCCCCCATTTTTTTAAATAGGCATGAAAGTGCACTATCCAAACTTAAATTGTTGTAATTTATGAACACTTTGGAATACAGACACAAGGTTGGTCTCTTTTTAAAGAAGAAAATCAGCAGATTATTGATTATTGGATTTTTTTCAAAATATAAAAGTATCAAAAAGTTATAGAAGTTTAAATTTACTGTAAATAAAATACACTATATTAATTTTATGTTATTTTATATATAATAGATATTTTACATAACAGTTTTCACTCTAAAACTGATATAAAATTAAAGCCTTATGTCTAAATAAGTTATGTTCCAAATTTGAAGTTGATATGAAAAAAAT